GTCGGCTTTGATTGGCGCCTTTGCTAAAGACATGATATGTTTATTCATCAAACAAGGGCATATATACATATCATGTGTTCAGTCAACTGCCCACAGCCTATGTTTTCAGTTTCTTTTACAGCACTTTCCGCAAGTATGCTGTTTTTATGGCGAAGAAAACACAAAGCTTCTCTACTTTTTATGCAAATATCTGCATTTTTGGGGTGACTGCACTTCACTGAAATCGCGGTGTTGTGTGGCTTGACCCTGTGGTTTTGGTTTCATCGCGATAGCTGTGGTAATCTTATATTGCACACCTATTTCTAGGCTGATCTTGGGTTCCAGCATCATGGACGGATTCAGGATGGCCTGTTGGGGAAGAGGGCGGGGGAGTGAGGCTCTTGGAAGGGGCCACAGAGGGTGTGTGAGAGAGTTTTCTTCAGTTTTAGTAATGGTACCTGGCCGCTGGGAGGCGGAGGAAGGGATGGGGGATGGCTAAAGGCCCATCTGCCAATATCCAACACCAATATTTTTGTGCTATGTGGAATTTATTTTCCGTACTATTTATTTGTTTTAATTATGAAATTTTGCATACTCAATGTAGTGCATATACATGCACAGAGTTTACTTACAGGTTACCTCAAAAAAATCTGTTTAAAGGAGGGACTGTTCAACGAGGAAGTTGTAGCAGTAACAATTCATGGTGCGGACAAAGTTTATGAAGACGAAGAATGCACAAAACTGAATCCACTGAAGGTATTACTTCATCTTTTTTTTCAAGTTGCCATTTCAGTCAAGGTACTGATCCAGTCTTTCTTGTTAAGATACCGCTTCAGCTTTTTTCGACGGTTTTTCGTGTTTTTTCTCAAAATAGCATTTTTTTAGGAAAAGTCGTAAAATTTTAAACTTTTTTGGAATTAAAAAATAATTCTTATTTCACTGCTTACACGAAGCTAATTCATCTTAATGTAGTCTGTATGTTGCCACCAAAAAAAAAAAAACTGGTGTTTGTCAGTGATCAGTTTTATAATTGATGTTTTAAAAAACGCATTAAAATCACTTCGCTATGTATATGAATATTAATATGCGTGTCTGCTGCTATCTTTCGGTTCAGTAATTGAGAAAGCTAGGAAGTTAGATTTGGAGGGATATGATTCCTCCACCGTATGAAACTTTAGGAACTTCAAATAAACTCCCATTTTTTCCCACGTCCTAATAAAATTAGAAGGTTTGTCCTTACTCTGGTATATTGTCTGCCACTGCCGCACATTATTTTAGCATTGATCCATCACTTATTTCTGCATATTAATGCATAGTGCATGCTAGAAAAACGCCGTGACGAACTAAAGGGAACGTCTTTATGTTTTGTTCACTGCAAGCCACATTTTGTCGTAGAGGGAGCCTAGCCATACCAGTGCTCTGCTGTTCCCCGTTCCTTATTTAAATTAATTTTTTGCAGGTACCTCATCTGAAGCCC